CGAAAGTCTGCCGAGCGATGCGGAATACAAAGAAGCCATAAAGTGTACTTCTCAGGCAATGGACCAGTGGGTCACAGCTCTACTCCGTAGATTGAGAAACGTTCTATGTGGAAAACAAGGGAGAAGACATTGAAAGGTCAGCAATATTTTGTGTTTAATGTCCATTCTGAAGCACGCATAGGCATAAAGTTCACATTTCCTTACGCAACTGCCAATTTGTTTAAGTAACTCCTGAATCTGCACAAATAACATGTATTTTGTGGTCAGTCACTTATGTGCACACAAATTACTTTTGTTATTTTTATATGTGCATCTGTGAACTGGCATGCGCCTATTACACAGAATGCAGGCTTATGCAAAAGCTTCAATGACACAGGCCACTTTCAACTTTATCGCTTACACTGTATAGTAATCCACAATTTAAATTTCTCAGGTAACATCATGCTATAAAAAGTATGCAATAAGTGGTTGAACTACGCACCAGGGACAGGATATCACTATTGAGTTTAACGCTTAAAGGCAAACTTGCGGATACCCGGTATTTTTTCGGACGAGCAGGAAAGGTTCGCCTCATTCCCAATAGACTTGTCGCTGACAGGGTTGCTTCAAAGCTTAAATCTGCCTTGTAAAAAATCTTGGATTGTATGGGCTAAAGCAAGTTTTGAGTGGTGCTGATACAAGTATTCTGAATGGAATTAAAGCCTTGAAAGTGTTAGGTTACAATATACACTTCACAAACTTCAGTGGACGTCGAGTGTTTTTTTTTTTTTTCGCAGAAAGCAAATACTGACTGAAAGCAAGCATAATTCAAGCCCAAAAACCTTGAGATGATGCTGGTTTGTCACTGTTAAAGCCTTTCCCACAACGTCAAATTATTTCCGCTTTCAGCTAAATCTTTTCAAATGATTATGCTTCTTCTTAATTCTTTTTATGAAAAAAATAAATTTAGCTTTCCCGAAGCACAGAATTTGCCTCCTGTGTTTTTTAGAAGTTGAATAATTGTCCTGTGAATGCTACTGAAGTAATTATGAATTGTGCCTATATATGCCTAAATGATAATTTTTAACACCTATTTATGCCTAAATGGCAGTTTTTATGGCCTAAAACATTCATTTTTCGTGCCTAAAGTTCCGGTCTCTGGTTATAACCGATATTTTGTTATAGCCGGGTTCTTTATATTGAGGCTCAATTAAAGAGCAATAAAGGAAAGGGGCATTAAACAGCAGTATCTTATTTTATTTAGTATGTTATGCTCCTTTGCCAACGATGTGTAAAATGATAACTAGGATGGCTTTCCCATTTTTCTAGTTCAATATTAACCAGTTGTGAACCGTGGGAGGCACACAAAGATATCGGTCACAATCGAAATTTTATGAACGAGGCTAGGCATTCGTTCGTTCTAGAAGCACTCATAGGCACAAAATGCCAATTATTGGTGTTGCCTGACGTTTGCTATCTAGAAAACGGGGGTTTAGCTAGAGTGCCTTGGTTTACCTAAGCTGTAGTCGTATAACCATATTCGAGATTGGAGCAGATTTCAGATTTTTACGCTGATCGTGCTGAATCGAAAATACTGATCTCAAACCCAGTAAATGGTCAAAATGACCGCGAGGTTCTTTGAAAGGTGGAAGTTTGAACTAAAGTAACGACAGTGGCCCAAAGAACTTCACTAAAGTCACCTTTTCAACAAAAAAAGACATCTTTATGAGAGCAGCGACCGCTTTCACGGGTTTTCCATAGATTTCATAAAGTGGTTTTTGCTCTAAGAAACACAGCAACCCTCCTTGAAATTTAGGCTGCGACAATTTTCATTGTTCTACCACTGCTCGAAAACATGGCAAGGATGTTCACACTGCAAAATCTTGCAATTTCTTACGGCCTTAAGTTGATTTGTCGTGTTTGTGGTGCACGTTCTCATGGTTGCTGACACACTGAAGTCTGATTGGGAAGCTGGCTTGGCAAATTCTTACAGTTCGGACAAGGATTGCCAGTTGCGATGCTCGTGTGTGAAGATTCGAGTGAAGCGGTTTATTTTGGTGCTACTGTGTGGAACAGAGTGGAAAAAAATGATGCTCGTCGTCAAAAAATTATTTTTGCCAGCTCTCAGAGGGGGCACGTGAATTGGGGAAAAAAATTTGCCTAAAAGCTGCAGATATACATTGTACATACCACTGCCTTCTCGGAGAGTTTGTGTCTTTTGAAGATGACAAATAAAGACGAACATTGTACATAAGAGCAGTGCCTGTGCGGTCTTTTATTGTGTGATCATATGTCTATCTCACACATTATCATTTGTAGGATAACAATTGTGAGATAATATGATTTGAAAAGTGAGATAACGTCCATTGCAGGCAGGAAGATTGTCGGCTGATTTTTTTCATCTTGTTGTTGGTAACGTTGAAATTAGAAAAAGAGTCTGTGGATGCCGCAAGGTGATGGAAGTGTGGATTCTACCAGCATCGACAACTTAATGTTGCATTGTCCACTTCTTTTAATGGCTCTTGAAAATAGAAAGACTCAAGCACATCACAAGAAAAAAAGAAAAAGCCGTTGTCTGCACATGTTGCCTCTGTGAGGTTGTACAAGTAAACAATTTAACTATTAAAGTGGCACCATTCTGCAGAGAAGTGAAAAGCAATAGACAGCATCAGACCTAACGATTTATGTAGATCATCAACTTTACCGACGCTGCAAAACGTAACGCTAACTAAACTTTCTAGAGGTGTTGGGATTACTCAGGATTCCGTTTATAGAGCACAAAAAAATATTGAAATGCTGAATGACTGTGGACCCAGCATTGTACAGCATTTTAAAAGGAAGTTTTGTTACACACTGTAAGCTATAATGTGCGGTACGGGGCCAAAAACTTTTTTCAATTTGGTTCGTTTGAGGCGTTCAAAAAACAAAAATCAACTCTGCTGCTACCATACCTCAATCAGGTGGAAGCCTGTGTTGAAGAAGTCACTTTCCTGCCTTACCTTGGCGAGTATTTCCAAGCAATGTACAGTCCTTGATGTCAGAGGTAAGATCAGGTTGGGCTACCTGTAAGACATTTTTTTTTCTTTTTTATTTTCGCCAGTATATGCAATTTCAGCGTGATTTTATTCAGCATGCTTAAAGTGAGGAGCTATCGAGTTATCGACCGTACCTTTTCTTCGTACTGTCACTGACTGGATCTTTCGACGACATTTGCAGCGAAGGACGCAATTACGTGGCAGATTTTTTTGCTCGGTGTTGCCTCGCGGCGCATATTTAGTAGTGGCACTGCGCACTTCAAACAGGAGTCAAGAACTGTTGCCAGTAAGGTTCAATAGTGCTTGCTGCATGGAGAAATCTAATGCACTCTCACTATAAGCATGGCTCTCCAATGAAGGAATATTGAACAAAATTTTTGCCATCAAGATTTTCATCCACATTGATAGATTAGGTGTAGAAATCAATCGACACAATCTTCATTTCAGGCATAAGCTGGAGGAACACAGTGAATTTGTTGAGTTTTTCACGAACCACCACGTCTAGCAGCTGCACTGTGAAATACAGTAGACTTGTTGAAGAGAACTCAAAGGGACCAGGAAAATATTTTCATTTAACAGGAGTTCCACTTACTCAGAGATGAACAAGGATGGAAAATCCAAGTCAGAAACCAGTTGTCCTGGAAGCAGTTGTTCTGTTTAACAGATTTCTATTTACTGAGAGTCCATTGTCGAAGAGGCGACGTTACACTCGCCGAATACAGGCATTCCAACAACGTCTCCTCAACCCGGTCCGCTCCCAGTACGGTTTTGGAACCATACTGCGGCGTACGATGCTCCCACTGGAGTAAAGCATCATGGCTTTTTGTGAAAGGGGGAGTGGGATGAAAGGGGAGGTGGAGAAAAAGGACGGGAACTCTTGCACTCATCATGCACCACGTAGTGTGCGACGCTGCGGCTCGTGCTCACATGTCGCCGCCGTGCGCCGACAACCCGCCAAAAACACAACCAACTGTTCAAAGCTACGTGACGTAAACTTTGTTTATCAGAACAGTGGTTGTCCCAGTGGAGTTTTGATGTTTTTATCAGTTTATGTAATTTTTCTTGCTCATCATCATCAGCCTGACTAGGCACACTGCAGGACAAAGGCCTCTCCCATGTTCTGCTAGTCAATTCGGTCCTACGTTTGCTTGCTGCCATTTTTTTCAGTATTCTTTGCCTAATACTTTGAAAAAAGTCAATTCACTGTTTATGCCAAGGAGTTCTGTAAACGAGTTTCATTAACGTGCACTGTCACAGGGTTATCCAAGTGCACCCTGAAGAAGGTGTGGTTCTGGCAGTGACCCTCAAGATATGCCAGCCTTTCATCACATTAGTCATAAACTTTAAAATAAAGCTGAATGAAATGCATTAGCATCTCTTTTTCTACCTGATTTTGTGCACACGCTTGCTTCATAAGTTTTTTCAACTACAGTGTTTTTTTCGTTCCCTTTTTCGGAGTTCTTTGAAACATATTAGAAGAGTTCTATTGTACGGTACTCACATATCGAAATGCATTCAAACCTCGTTATAACAAGCTTGCATTTTACAACAAAAATTAAGTTTGTTACATCCTAAAAGTCATCACAAATGTATATTCCTAACGCTATATCTATCGCAAGATTATTCTTCGTTTACTTTGTAATAACCCATACTTCGTTATATCAACGTTTGATTGTACAAAATTTTAGATCTACATCACGGACACATTTACATTTCTATAGTCTTCAGTCTAGGTCTTCGGGTGCAATTTTCACCTGAACACTTACGTCAATGCCATTATTATATTTAAGACACAAATTTCTACCATGCTTACGTGGTCATCTCAAAAAAGTTCACTTAGCAGTTGTTAGACAGAAAGCTTTGATGTTGTATTTTAATTGATGGGTACCATACACTGATATACCTAGTGTTCCCATTGTTCATTATCAGAGCCTGAACTTGGTGAGGGGGCCCTTTGAAATGATATCATTGCAGCAACATGCACAGTTGGAACACGATAAAAACAAACATTTATTTTTCTACCAGCATTGCAAATCCTAATGTAGGCGTCACTCTTTTGTTTCTGACGTCTCCTGGCTATCCTGGGCAGCCAACTGTTGGAGCTGCTCAGTTGCCGTCGGAAAAACAGACTTGAACTCGCTGAGTTCCTCGTTCGGGAACTTGCAAAGATTTTGCTCCGTTGGCCTGTTCGTGAAGGGTGTCCAGAAACCTGAGAAAATAGAAGCATTTAACTTAGCAACATGAATGTTTGGGCTAGCTGGGAATTCATTATTCCTTATTTCCGCAAAAAAAAAAAAAAAAAAAATTTAAACGAGGGATAAAAAAAATCAACACATAAGTGTGAACTTTCAACTGAGTCTTAACTCTTCAGACACAATATCGTATACACGCAAGCAAAATTTTCAAAATTCAGGGAGTAGTGCCGATCCAACCGGCAATGCCCATGGTGTTGATGTGGTGAGAAAGTTGAGTGGTTTGCGAAGGAACGCATTGAGGGAGCGACTGCAAATATCTCGCCAACGTGTGAGCTGGGTGCTTTCGGCGATTGCGCAAGAAGCGTCAGCAGACAGTTTTCGAACAAATTTCTAACCGATGCAAGAAGCGTCTTGTGTGGCACCTAATGATGGTTACTTTGAAGACCAGCATTTTTTTTTTTTTTTTTGTAAAACCAGCCTTCTTTATTTGCCGGCACCACTGGTAAAACTATTCAGTCACACCTTATAGTTTTTCTGGCGCTACAGGTTTGCAAAGTTACGATCAATGGTGCAACTAGTTTGTGTCCAGTTGGGAGAATTTCTCCTTTTCCCAACAACGACCGGTTCAATCCGCAAGTGTACTTGAAGTAACGTGCCACTTGGAACACTGAGTGGCGTGTTAGCCCTGTGATTACATTAACGGTGTGGCATGGGTTACATCGAGACGTAACTGTAAGCACCGCAATCGTTACGTCCAGACATAACTTTAGCCACTGCTTGTGTTACGTCCACGGTCCCACGGTGACGTTTGCATCTGCTACGGTAACATTTGGCACTGCCGCTCGCCGAATAAAGCGGTCATAAGCTCAGATTCACCGATTTTTTGGAATCACTTGTGTGTTGAAAGCTGCGTCGTTTATTGTGCCGGACTTTTTCGCGCATCAGCAACTCTGTTGAGACAGATCGATTGATTGATCTATATGTGAGGTTTAACGTACTAAAACCACCATATGATTATGAGAGACGCCGTAGCGGAGGGCTCCAGAAATTTCGACCACTTGGGGTTCTTTAACGTGCACCCAAATCTGAGCACACGGGCCTACAACATTTCCCCCTCTATCGGAAATGCAGCACTCAAAGCCGAGATTCGATCCCGCGACCTGCGGGTCAGCAGCTCAGTACCTTAGCCACTAGACCGCCGCGGCCGAGCTCTGTTGAGACAGACCAGCTGACGAACTTTTGGAAGACGTTGCCAGTACCACTCTACCGTATCGGGTGCTGCCTTTTCGTTAGCTTCCCTGAAGTGGCCAACAAGGGGAGCAATCATGATGGAACCCTGCTCACACCGCGGTTAGTGGTAAACAGTGGCTCTCCAACTGGATGCAAGTACGTTTTGCGTGCCCGTTCTAAAGTATAAAACGTTCACTAGGGTTACGCCCATACAATAACAGTAGTTACAGCTGTCCTGCATCGCGACATGTTTATATCTCATCGTCCAAAAACCTCATCTGTCTACTTTTAATGGAGCAGCCCACGCCAATGTAGTATCTCTAAAGGTGTTTTGTGGAAGTATCTCTAAACGTTGGCCCGTGCAGCGTATACTTGTAGCACATTGCCACTTGTAGCAGCCTGCAGCCACGATATTAGACTAAAAGATAACAGCAGCAATTTTGGAAGAATTTATCGTTATTTGATATACATTATCGTGAAAAACTTTTGGTTGATCACGTAGTTTGCATTATTTCAGAACCTCTCATTTATTTTGCACTGATATTGAGCATTGATAGCCTGTTTTAGGCCTGTATTGACCACAGCGCGATCGCGTCACATCAGACAGTAGATGGACAACACGTACACTTGAAATATACATTATTAATGATTACGGTTGTTGCTCAGCAACAAAAAGACGTCCATCTGACTCGTTATATATATATATTTAGGGGTGTAATGGTAAAAACATGAAAAAATCACCTCGGAACACAAAACGAATTGCCACTGAGGCCATACAGTTTTCTGTGGGGAACTCTACGACTGATAGAGTCAATACACAGACTCTACAGGAAAACCTCCCAATAGCATTCGTGCTGGGGTAATCTCGCGGTGCGCTTTCGTTGCTAACTCACTATTTTGCAACAGCAGAACTGTACGGCGCTGTAGCAACGCGGTTTCGTGCGTCCGCCGCGGCCACGAAGGCTATTTTGTTTGAGAATACACACACACACACACATATATATTGTCACAGGTAATGGGTATGAGCCATCAACTGTAGGTGGAATCCCTTGGAAGTGAAGAAAGAAGAAGGCTTTTGCCTCCTGGTCTGAGGGCAAGCAAGATGTCATTTCATCGCTGTCTGTTATTACCTTCGCGGCACTGGTGGAGGTGCTGGGTAAATGCGCCTCGGCTGCAGATTTTCAGCCGACACACTGAGCTACTTGGAGACAGCTACAGCTCCCACGGCAAGAAGCAGTCGCCGCCTGCGAGGACTATCTCCCAAGTACGGTCCCCTCTCTCAAGACGAGATGGCAACTTCAACTAACAACCAGGCGAGTCAAACCAACGACGCCTATTCTTTTCTCCCGCATGTTTTTCATGCGCAGCAAACACCACGCTCATTTCATGGAGACATTTATGAAGATGTTGACGACTGGCTTGACCACTTCAATCGAGTTGCCAACATCAATGAATGGGATGAAGCTCGCAAGCGGCGGAGAGTTTACTTTGCGTTAGAAGACTCTGCCAAAACGTGGTACGAGAATCACGAGGGTTCCTTTGCGACGTGGCATGAGTTCAGCCGACAGTTTCGTGATGCGTATCGCAGCACTGAAAGGAAAGAGAGGGTGGAGCAGGCTATCTCGTCTCGGAACCAACGACCCAACGACAGAGTTTCGATGTTTGTCGAGGACATGCTTCGACTCTTCAAGCGTGCTGACCCTGCAATGTCCGAGGAAAAGAAGGTGCGGCATTTAATGCGTAGGGTAAAAGAGCAGCTCTTCGCTGGACTCGTGCGCAATCCACCGACGACTGTGGCAGAGTTCATAAATGAGGCAACCACAATGGAGCGTACTCTCCAGTATAGGTCGTCACAGTATGAACGCCACGACGTGACCCCTGCTGCATGCTTTATCGGGGCTGACATTGAGAGGCATGCCCTCGCTGAGTTCATAAGAAGCGTTGTGCGGGACGAGCTGCGCCAACTCCAAGCAGGGGAACCCCAACCACCCGTAAGTGCTCTCGCAGACTTAATCCGAAATGAGATCCGACAGGTGGTCACCCCACTCGCGCCAACAAGGCCTGAGGACCCTGTGCTGACTTATGCGGCGGCTCTGCGATCTGCACCACATGGCCCTGATCCCACCATGGGGAGAATGGATCAGGGTAGCCATCGATTCCAGGGCACCTCTTCGACTCCGCCACCCGCCTCAAGGTTTCCGAGTACACCAACTTATCGTCCGTCTGGATCGCGGCAGAACGCCACAAAGGCCAGCGTGTGGCGTACGTCCGATAACCGCCCACTCTGCTACCACTGTGGCGAAGCGGGTCACGTCTACCGTAACTGCCAGCAGCGCCAACTTGGTCTCCGTGGCTTTCAGCCTGATGCTCGGTGCCCGCGTTACGATGAGCGTCCCCGCGACATCGAAGCGTACCTTACGGGCCAGCAAGCTCCTTGCCTTGGTCAACGCCCCCTATCACGATCACCATCACCTCGCCGCCCCACGTCACCCAGCATTCCCTCGTCATCTTATGCTCCTTTCAGAGGCCGGTCACCGAGTCCCCACAGGGGAAACTAGAAACTGCGGCTCCTGGGGGTGAAGCCGCGTCCCAACGAACTGTCAAAGAGCCTCCTTCGACGCAAAGACCCGACGAAGACCGTTCTGATTTTCCAGTCGTTTCCGAAAGTCATAAGACTGTTTCCGCCGACATCACCGTACACGTCGTCACTGCCCTCGTCGACACCGGCGCCGATTATTCGGTTATGAGCAGCGTCCTAGCATCCCAACTGAGGAAGGTAACCACCCCTTGGCAAGGACCGCCATTGCGCACGGCAGGGGGCCACCTCGTCACGCCAACTGGAATGTGCACAGCCCGTGTTCGAGTCCGTGCTTCGACGTTCACAGGGTCTTTCCTTGTATTACCTGTGTGCTCCCGTCCAATCATTCTGGGGCTGGACTTTCTTCGCGAACACGGCGCAATTATTGACCTACGAGACTTGCAGGTGTCGTTCCAGGACCCGTTTCATCCTGAACCGGAAAACGCCCGCTCATCGAAGGCTGCCCTACGTGTATCCTCCGAATCTGTTACTCTGCCTCCCCGCAGCAGCCTTTTTATCAACGTTGAATGTGACCAAGACGTCCCCGATGCTGTAATTGCAGAAGGAAATTTGTCCCTACTATTTGCACAACAAATCTGCATTGCCCGAGGTATTGTTCAGCCCAGTAGAAAGCAGGCTTGCCTATTAGTCACGAATTTCAGCGAGGAGTATCGCCATCTTACCAAACACACTGCGATCGCATACCTTGAGGATATTGCCGACGTCCCTGGTCCCTCAACATTATCTGCTCTTTCGCCGTGAGACGATTCCGCCATGACATTTGCAAGCACTCTCGACGTAAACCAGGGTCTACCGCCTGCACAACGGGAACGTCTATTGAAGCTACTCGGCTCATTTCGGGACTGCTTCGCTACGACTTCGAAAGTTAACCAAACACCGCTTGCCAAGCGTCGTATCATCACCGAGCCTACCGAGAGACCCATTCGACAGCATGCCTACAAAGTCTCGCAAAAAGAACAAGACATTATATGCCAACAGGTTCAGCAAATGCTCAAGGACGATGTCATCCAGCCATCGACCAGTCCCTGGGCGTCCCCTGTTGTGTTAGTAAAGAAAAAAGATGGTACTCTGCGATTTTGCGTCGACTACCGAAAGTTGAATAAGATCACGAAGAAAGACGTGTATCCTTTACCACAAATAGACGACTCGCTGGACCGCATTCGCAATGCTCGTTACTTTTCTTCCATGGATCTACGCAGCGGCTATTAGCAAATATCTGTTGATGAGCGCGACCGCGGAAAGACCGCCTTCATTACTCCTGACGGACTCTACGAGTTCAAGGTCCTTCCCTTCGGCTTATGCTCGGCACCAGCTACTTTTCAAAGAATGATGGACACGGTTATTTCTGGGCTAAAATGGCAATCGTGTCTTGTCTACCTTGACGATGTGGTCGTCTTCTCGGACACGTTTGAGCAGCACGTCCAGCGCTTACAGGCAGTTCTTCAGGCGATTCGAACAGCTGGACTTTCTCTCAAACCTGAGAAATGCCACTTTGCATTCGAGGAACTGAAATTTCTTGGTCACGTCGTCAGCCACGCCGGTATACACCCAGACCCTGAGAAAACGAAAGCTGTTGCCGCATTTCCTGTCCCAACGAACAAGCGCGACCTCCGCCGATTTCTGGGACTCTGCGCATATTACAGATGCTTCGTCAAAGGCTTTTCTAAAATCGCTGAACCGCTAAATGAACTTATGAAAGACGGCGTACCGTTTGTTTGGGGTCATAATCAACATCTCGCCTTTGACACGCTACGAAACCATCTCTAAGCCCCCCCTGTACTCGGTCACTTTGACGATAACGCTGCCACAGAGCTACACACGGATGCCAGCAACGTCGGACTTGGAGCTGTACTGGTCCAATGGCAAAATGGCGTAGAGCGCGTGATTGCCTATGCAAGTCGAACACTATCATCTGCAGAGAAAAACTACTCTGCAACAGAAAAAAAATGCTTAGCCGTTGTTTGGGCTATAACAAAGTTTGGCCTTTATTTATACGGTCGACCAATTAGGGTAGTTAGCGACCATCATTCTTTATGCTGGCTCGCCAACCTCAAAGACCCTTTCGGTCCTCTAGCACGCTGGAGCCTTCGGCTGCAAGAATTTGACGTTACAGTCATTCACAAGTCAAGACGCAAACACACTGATGCTGACTGTCTCTCACGTGCACCAATTGGAAGTACGAACGCGGACGTTCACGGGTTGAAGGGGACGATACATTCCTTTCCTCTGTGTCAGCAACCGACTTGGCTCAACAACAACGCGACGACATGGAGCTAAGCCCGCTGATTGACTACCTCGAAGGCCGAAAACGCAGCTTTCCTCGAAACTTTGCACGTTCGCTGGCCTCGTTCTGCATCAGGGATGGAGTCCTCTATTAGAAAACTTTCGACCATATCCAGGCTACTTACCTACTGGTTGCGCCGACCTCACTTCGGGACGATATTTTACATGCTTGTCACGACGAACCATCATCCGGACACCTTGGCTACACACGCACATTAGAAAGAATTCACCGCTCATACTACTGGCCCCGCCTCGCGAAGACAGTCAAGCAGTACGTCCGCACATGCCGCAACTGCCAACGCCGTAAGACTCCACCTGTCCGACCAGCAGGACTACTACAGCCTATCGCCCCGCTGAAGACACCATTCCATCAAATTGGCATTGACTTGCTCGGCTCATTTCCCACCTCTTCGTCTGGAAACCGGTGGATTGTGGTTGCCACCGATTATTTAACGTGTTACAGCGAAACAAAGGCCCTGCCCAAAGCTACCGCAGCCAAAATCGCACAGTTTTTTGTCACCAGCATCGTACTTCGCCACGGAGCGCCAGCTGTGATAATTACTGATCGTGGTACAGCTTTCACCGCAGAGATGCTTCAAGAAGTGCTGAGACTAAGTGGTACAGAACATCAGAAAACCACGGGTTATCACCCCCAAACAAATGGACTCACTGAACGGTTGAACAAGACCATTGCAGATATGCTGTCAATGTATCTGGCCGTTGATCACAAGAACTGGGATGATATACTCCCTTACGTAACTTTTGCTTACAATGCAGCAGTCCAAGAGAGTACAGGTTTCACCCCATTTCACTTAGTTCATCGTCGAGAGGTCACTACAATGGTCGACGCAATGCTCCTTCCAAACAACTTGAGCATGTTCAATGCGGACGTTGCATTGTTCGCTCAACACGCCGAGGAGGCCCGTCAACTCGCCCGATGCCGTATTCAGGCTCGCCAAACTGCCGACGCACACCGCTACAACCTTGCACACCGAGAGGTTGCCTTCCAACCAGGCGATGAAGTTTGGTTGTGGACTCCCATCCGACAGCGTGGTCACTCTGAGAAGTTGCTTCGGCGCTACTTCGACCCTTACAAAGTTCTGCGCCGACTTAGTGACGTTACCTATGAAGTTCTCCCTGAGGGCGCCTCAAGACGTTCCTGTCGGTTTCCACAAAGTGATGTGGTGCACGTGTCAAGACTCAAGCCATATTTCTCGTGTCATCCATCGAACGTGGACTAACTTACCATGCAATGACAATTTTTTTGTCACTTTGGTTTGTTTTTTTTATTGTCTTGTGTACTTACTCCTTTCTTTATTGAGTACTTCTATGACGCCAGCTCATTTTTTTCCCTTACGACGGAGTTGTTGGGTTCCATGGTAGCATCTTTTCTTTCTCATTTTTTTTTCTCAACGCTCATTACCAGCATCGAGCCGATGCTTTTCGAGGAGAGGGAGTAATGTCACAGGTAATGGGTATGAGCCATCAACTGTAGGTGGAATCCTTTAGAAGTGAAGAAAGAAGAGGGCTTTTGCGTCCTGGTCAGAGGGCAAGCAAGACGTCGTTTCGTCGCTGTCTGTTATTACGTTCGCGGCAATATATATATATATATATATATATATATATATATATATATATATATATATATATATATGTATGTCTGGACGTAAGTTTAACGGCTTCTATCGTTACGTCTAGACGTAACGCTAGACACTCCGTTATGTTAAAGCGTTCTTTCTGTCATGTGTTCTTTTCCTGACCGAATCCCCGCTCCCCCGGAGCAAGACATGTTGAAACAATTAGCCGAATAGATGACAGCGTTGACCATAATAAAGCGGGCTACGCACGAATTAGGTAACATCGAACGGGCAGTGCAGAGAGGGATCAAAGCTCGAACCACGGCGCTCAGTGATTTAGAACATGGTCGAGGCGACCGCGGGGTCTACCGACCTTGTATGCTGGGGTGCTCGGTGCGGTGGTATTTGTTGATGCGGGCGATGGGCTCCCCGGAGCGGGTGCGGAAGTGGTCCACCCATTTGACCAGCTCGTTCGCCGGGATGTAGTTGACGCGCATCATGTCCCGCTGGCCGTTCAGGTACTCGGCCACGATGTAAGGGTCGCGGTGCCGTCGCGGTTTCAGGTACACCACGACGCCCGGGTTGTCGCGCGCGAAGTTGACCAGGTCTCGCTCGATGTACTCCCGCATGAAGCGGCTACTGCCGTGCGTCTTGCAGAAGGTCAGCGTCAGCCTCTGAAGCTGACACACGTAACGGCCGACGCCGTTGTACAGCGGAGCCTTTATGAACGTTATCGTCCTGTGAGCCATATCCTAAGCCTTAGGCGCCTTAGGACTGAAGCAGAAATCGTCGATCAGTACTCGCAACGTCCGCATACGAGCCGACAAACTGCACATAGATTCTACGCTTCAGCGCGCGTGCTTCGTCTTAGGGGGGCTGCCATTTTGAAAGCCTCCATCACGTCTTTTGGATCAGCTTCGGATCGCTCTCTACGCTGGAAAATTCAAACTTTCGGTCTGCTAAATTTAGCAGGTGTTCGGGATCGGCAGCCACGTACGCAAATCCAACGGTCGAGCCAAGACGGGGCGGCTGGCTTCGGGAGTTCGCGCCAGAGTCCGAAAAGGGCGCCCGATGCGGCTGTGTGGCGGGTGTGATCGTCTGAGCGTGTCCGTGTGTGGCGGTGCTGTGCGAAAGCGTTTCTCCCCGTGGTGGTTCACCATGCTCGTACACCTGGTCAAGGTGCCGGCGCGGTTCCGCGATCGTCGCCGCCGAGTTGATGCTGGCCGACGGAAACATTTCGCCCGATCAGGCTGCGGCACCAGTGCAACCGCGGCCGGCGTCGCCGGCGCGAAAAGCCAAGACGCCGACGACCGTCGTTTCCGGGAGACCGCGTACACCAGCAAGATCAGGTAAAGTTTGGTTCTCCCGTCTGCTCCTTCACTCTCTCTCTCCCCCTTATTTGCCAGCGCGATCACGTTTCGCTTTGTAGCGTCTCTTGGGCAACCCCCGGCGCGCCAGACTGCATCAGCCGGCATGACCGCGAAACTGCTATGCACTGCGCGTTCCAGCTTCTACTTCTTCGTTTGCTGTTGCTTAACTGGTTCCGTTTGGGTGTCTACTTCGTCTTTCCTTTTTCGCCTGATCCAACACTGCGAGCGTTGCATCAGAGGAGCATGCTAGAGCGCGGGCTCACTTGCGCGCGCCAGTGTGAGCGAACGCGGCAATCGGCGCAGATCGCGGTATTCTGATCCGGGGTGCTACCTTGCCGGGCCCTGCCGTCGTGAATCGGGCCCAACACGACGCATCGATGCGAGCCTCTGCCACCTCGGTTTCTGCGGTACTTATAATTTCTTTTCTTTTTGCTTTCCGACCCCAGTTTTTGGAGCATGATTCAACCGCGTTTGGCGCGCCCAGCTGTGGGGGGGGAGGGGGGGGCTCATCGAATTGGCGACTACGCGCCACTGTGTCAAGCTCGATCATTTTTTTCCGCTCGCCTACTAGAGCTTGGCGGCAACTGCAGCGTTTTCGCGTTTGGAATAGCGCATTGATGCGACCGAAGCATCGCCCCCTTTTTGTCGACCTGTGTCCTGGAAACCGAGGCGATTAGTTAATTTTTTTTTTTCCCGCTTCATCATACGAGAAGGGCTGTTCTAGCGTGCTGCTCTACCGTCGGATGCGCTGGCATTTTGACTCACTATTCGCGGTAGTTGTCGGTTTCGTCACATCCGTTTTCTAACGTGGACTGCGGGGAAGGCCTGTTAGATTAGTAGAACTTGTTCGGGCATGTTTGACCCGGGAAACGTCCTAAAAAAAAAAATAAGGAAATCGGCGATGCTGCCCGATTGCTCGCGCAGATAAGTCATGATCGTCGTCTTCTGGCGTGCAATGCGTTGTTTTTTTTTTTTGTTTCTGGCCTCAATTTTTTTTTTCAATTATTAATGTTTTTGAAACACTGGCCTGGGTTATCATTTTTTTTTCACCCCGGTGTTTAACAGAAATCACTCGGAACAATGCATATACAAATCCCCGCTGCTCGTTAATTCGTACAGCGTCCCGGGAATTACCGAATAATGCATTAATTGCGACGTACAAGTGGAGCGTATTTCCAAACGCACACTGATAAATTAATTAGATGCGCGGTCATGGTAGTTCATATTACCCAAATTTATCCTCTGATAAAATGAATCGAATTACCCAATTGCGCTTTCTGATATGATGAATTAAGTTAAACGCTACGATGTAGCTTATTACCGGTATGCATTCATTGATAAGGTGAATGCGGTGCTATGGTATATCGCATTATCGGAATGCACTCGCTGATAAGATGCCCTAAATGCGGTTCTATTATAAATCATGTTACCCAGGCGCAATTTCTGATAAACATACTTAAACGCGTAGCTATTGTGGTGCATATTTAAGAGCGTTCCCGATTAATTTCGCTCACTGAAAGCGCTCACTGATAAGATAAAACGGCGGACTTGGCGACCCCCTCTCTTCCCAATTTAACAGCCTGCACACGCTCAATAGCTTGAAATTTCAGCTTCTATCCGCAGATATTTCTCTCCCCAGATAGCATAAGGCGCCGGATCTGATATTATTGGTCTATTGTAGCGTTTTTTTTTTCCTTTCCGACTTGGAGAATATCTGACTTGCAGTGTCGAGTACATGATTGAATTTCCTGATAATTTCTCTACTTACTCGCTTAGTCTGCTCATTGTCGGGACGTCGTGCGTTTGAGATAAGACAGCTGGTTGTCCCATAACGATAACACTTTTTTTATCGCTGATTCTAGATAACTTGAGCACCCCGGCAAAATTTATCTGCTATTATTTCATCACCACTCAGTCATAGATGATCGTTTCGTCGAGCTGTGCGCATCATGCAGCGATTAACGATTTTCGTCACCTTAAAGTGGTTTGTTATTAGTACTCAATTGGTCACGGTACGCGGCGTATCCGAAGGGCGTGATCCGCAGGTCGCGGGTTCGAATCCCGGCCGCGTTTTGCTCCACTACGGCGTCTCTCGATAATCACGTCGTGGTTTTGGGACGTGACACCTCAACAGCTTTAGTACTAAAATTCAAAGATGATATTTTAGTAAAATTTGCCGTATGATGCAGCAATTACCGTATTTAATCGATTCTTACGTGAGTCCTCTTTCCAGGTATTTGCTGCCTAAAGTCGACACTCGCCTGACAGTGTAATACCTAAATACGAGAATTTTTGCTTTTCATTCTTCCCAGGTGTGATGAAAATTCATCTATCGCGTTGCAATTGAGTCAATACGGTAATAATTTTCGACGAATTTAGCGTGGTTGGTTATCCTGACTCGGAACTGTGCTTAAGAGCATGGTGGTGTAGGCGTTATCGTGCGGGGAATAGTCATTTCTCGACCCAGTCGAGTACATTAAAAGGGTGCAGACCACAGCTGTCGTAGTCGCAACATTTTCCGTTTTTTTTGTAGCGTTCTTTTTTTCATATCACCCTTTTCGCTCATTAGAACAGCTGGCTTAGATCATGTATCCTATGGCGAAATGTCCATGTCGTGTTCCTCTAATGGGATGCTAAAAAGAAAACAAAATATATTGGTCTAAGCATGGTTGTGTGTATGATTCAGCGCCTCATCAAATGGTGGTTTTGGGACGTTAAACCCCACATATCAATCAATCAATGATTCAGCGCCTCTCAGAAAGACACTTCGCGATACTTGTCTCGCATGTTATCTGAAAACAATGCCTTGGCCACAGATGCCGAGATACAAACCATCGCAAGGACGCAACTAGACACAAACACACAGGAGGAAACACACGAGGGCAGGCGCAAACTACCAATAGGTTTTATTTAAGGTCCATGGACACCTTCGGCTTCATGCGTCAACTCCCTGCGGGGGGTGGGGGGGGGGGGGGTAAGCACCGTAACAATAACCAAGACAGTTCAAACCAGGTGAGAATGAAAATGGGATTCAGCATTGTACAGCGCAATGGAGGTTTCCCTCGCGCACTCGTCGTCTGCTTTTTAAACTTGAAAAGAAAAGCTTCTATAGCGTTTCTTGAGCCGTCTTATTTTACACTTCTGCCTAGCATTTTTGAACAGCGAAATTGCGAAACATCACGCGAAAGAAATCTTAATAATAGGGAGAGGTCACCTCGTTGACCACTTGCTTGGCTTGCCCGCATTGTGAACCGCCATTTCCCCGTGCGAAAATGCTAGGCATAAGTCGAGATAAAACGCCTGGTAAAACTCTAGAAGCGTGACCGATATACAAAAGGTGAAAATGAAGTTTTTGAAGAAAAACAGTTCTATCTGGTTGAGCGAGACTGAACCCGGTAATACGGCTATACTTCTGCGACTTCGTCGTTGCCGTCCCTCGCATAGAGAGTATTGCGCAGACTGCCGCTTCACACTATTAAGTGCGCTAATTTTCATGACGTCAAGCTCTTTTGTGAGGTTAATACGAAAGCTTTCACCATGAAGATGCGAGTTTGTGTTGCTGGTTTCAGACTTAAAGCTTGAACGTCTCGTTGTTCGAGGTATAGCGCATCCAGGACGGGACAGAGAAGACACAGAACACATACACGGCGCTAACTTAGCGCCGTGTATGTGTTCTGTGTCTTCTTCTCTGTCCCGTCCTGCACATGCGCTATACTTCGAACATGAATAACCAACAAGCCCACCGTGCAACCTTAGTTGAACGTCTCGACAAATTTCTTTCGTGTATTCTTGCGGCAGGTATTTGAGTCGGAAAAAAACATTATTGTCCATTTTGTCTAGTATTCACATTATATATAGCTTAGAGAGTATTGCTTTAGTGATGAATGTATATAAAAAGAAGAACAGTTGGTTAGAGGCGAAGGACAGTCCGTCTTGGTGGAACAAGTGTCGGCGGTGCTTGTCGGCTGACCCGAAAGGTCGCAGGTTCGATTCCGGCGGCGGCGCTCGCTTTTCGATGTACTTGAAAAAGATAGATAGGCCCGCGTGTATACTGTGCTATCTTGATGCACGCTAAGAGCGCCAGATTGTCAAACTTGCGGAGCCCTCCACTATGGCGTCTCTCACAATCTTATCGTGGTTTTGGGATGTTAAAAATCCGGATATTAGAGAATAATATTATCGAGGCGAAGGACAAGTGGGGCATCGCAGTTTTGTTGATGGCCCCGCCGCGGTGGTCTAGTGGCTAAGATACTCGGCTGCTGACCCGCAGGACCGAACCGCGGCTGCGGCGGCTGCATTTCCGATGGAGGCGGAAATGTAGGCCCGTGTGCTCAGATTTGGGTGCACGTTAAAGAACCCCAGGTGGTTCAAATTTCCGGAGCCCTCCACTACGGCGTCTCTCATAATCGCGTGGTGGTTTTGGGACTTTAAACCCCACATATCAATCAATCAAGCAGTTTTGTTGATGGAGCTTTTGCCGATTACGAACATCGTTGCCCGATATTCTGACGGTTGTCTCAAGTTTGTGCAAAATAGTTTTAAGACGCATAATTCAGGGTGAAAATACTTCATAACAGGAGATAGCGTTGCGAACTGTGTTCGCATTATTAGCCCGCACCGACATGTTTTGACAATTTGTATTCTGAATCTGCGACCCGCCCTAAGAATAAAGATAGCAATGTGTAGGGTTTAACGTTCGAAAACCGCGATATGATTATCAGAGACGCCAGTGTAGTGGAGGGCTCCGGAAATTTCGGACCATCCGGTGTGCTTTAACGTGCACTAACATCTCACAGTAACTCGCGGGCCTCTACTGCAGATCGCCTCCATCGATATACATCGATATAGCCGCGGCGTAAGTCGAAACCCGCGACTTTCTCATCAGCAGCCGAGAAACCTAGCCGCTGATCCACATGGCGGACTCACAATGAACAGTCGCAAGACGAGCTGCGACCGGGTAAATGTAGCAGGGCTAG